TCATTAAAATCATCGTTTGACTCAACCCGGCCGGACCAGTGTTGTTATTGTGGTTTTTCCTCTTGTATCCATCCCCAATATTTGAATCCGTAACACTTGTAACAAAATGTGTGAGGACTTGGCTGGAGCTGACTCGTTGCACATAGCGGACTATGCAGTTTTTGTGTTGATGCTGCTGGTGTCCGCAACCATCGGCTTATACTACGCTTGGATCAGAAGAAGTCAGCAAAATACCCAGGAATTCTTAACCGGAGGTCGAAAACTCACCGCTCTGCCCGTCTCCCTGTCACTGACCGCCAGCGACCTGTCGTCCATCATACTGATATCCATTCCGGTAGAGGTAATGTGGCGGGATTGGCCTCAGATTAAAATTCTCTCATTGCACTTTCATTTTTTCCTGTGATTAACTTTCCCTGCGAATATTTATGACTTTAAACTGTACTTTCATAAGTATAAGGACATTCCTTGTGGCAATTAATACAACATTTAAGTAACAGAAAAACTAATTGCATAGAAATTTGACTTTGAGTTTATGACTTGGAATATAAAAACATTCTGTTAGCTAATAAAATATTCCAAGCTGTATTATTGGAAGTATGACTTTTATATTTAAAATATCTCAGATGAAATGTGCATTAAATGTCTTTACACTGACACTGGTTTTACTGGTCCAGTCCATTTGGCCCACGATGAAAAATGAGTTTGACATCCACGCAGTAGTAAAAACATTTATTCAGGGTTGGACTCCTGTTAGTATTTCAAGTCTACTGCTCCAATAGCCCCACTGTGTGAATTGCTAAAACTTTATAAACCTGCATGTGTTTCATGGTCTTGCTCATTTTCCTGTTTGTTAAATTGGAAACGCTGCTTGTCTGTAGGTGTACCGCTATGGAGCCATCATAGGGTATGCTTGCTTCGGGTATTTTCTGGCCCAGGTGTTCACATGTGAGATCTTTCTCCCAGTCTTCTACAGGCTGCCCATTACCAGCACTTTTCAGGTGAGTGTAGTAGCTTTTTGCAGATTGTGTATAATAACCAGAAGCGCGTCTGTAATTTAAAGGGAAGATATCAGCTTATTTGGCTTCTGGTTAAACCAGTAATGATCTATTGTGTAATAAAATATTTGTTTTTTAATTAGACTGCTCTATGGTACAATAAATGCACCACTAGTTTGTTTTTTAAAAAGTCTGTTTGGATGCTGTATGAGTAACTGTCTTCTCTACCAAGTATCTGGAGCTGCGTTATAACAAAGTAACCCGTCTGCTGGTAACATTCCTCGCTATTATTCGAGCAGTGAGTATGGCAGTAAGCAAGTTTTAAGACTTGTTTGGCTAGGGCCACATATCTGTAACCAGATGGCTATTTGTCCTTTTTTACCACAGCTCCTCTTGTCTGGACTTGCGATTTATGCTCCAGCCCTCGCATTAAATCAAGGTATGTTCAGGTCAAAGCTGACAGATTCAGGAAACATTACTGCACAAGTAAACTTGCGGGTACTTGAGTGACCAGTATCTTAAATGTTCCCACTTCTCTGCAGTGACTGGCTGGAATCTGTGGGTGGTAATCGTGGTAACAGGAATGGTCTGTACGGCATACTGCGCATTGGTATGGAACAACAAAAGCTGCAAAAGTCATCTCTCTCTGCTATACATTTCCCTTAAACTGAACTGTTTCTTGCTTTGGCTGTCTGGATTTAAATGGGCTCATTATTGCAGGGTGGAATGAAGGCAGTGGTTTGGACAGATGTTTTCCAGGTAGGCTTCGACACGCAAGATTACTGTTAATGCTACATAGCCTACATAGAAGAATATCAAATGAGTCCATTTCGAGTGCCAGGACATTTGGCTTTAATTCTAAATCACAATTAAACTTGAATTCTAGTTGTAGCAGTGGGGTAAATGTCTTGATATAATCCGATTTTATCTTCTAGGTTGGAATAATGTTAGCAGGCCTTCTCTGTGTCATATCCAAGTGTCTCTTCTTAGAAGGAGGAGTCTCTATTCTGTCCAATTCACAACAAGGAGGAAGACTGAACTTTCTGGAGTGAGTATAAGGGAAGAAAGTAAAGTAACTTTAAGAGCCTGCATATTCAAACCCTTGCATCTCAATACTGAGGAATTGTTTTAGCAAATTGAGTACAATTCTGCAACATAATTCAAATGATAGAAATGTACAGTACATTAAAGTGTATTTCAAATTTTAACTTAAGTGTACTTGTGTATTTGAGCCCCACTGTTGGAACTGAGTGCAACAAAAGCACTGCTTTCTTTACTTGGATTTAAATCACAGTACTTGAACTAGGCACGTTGATAGACTGAACTTCTGGAAACAAATTGCTTCTGTACTATTGTCTGAAAATAAGCCAAAGAACTGTGGCTGAAGCCCAATATAGGGAGTGATTGTCCAGGTAAAGGCAAACTTTTAAAAAAAATTTTTTTAAACAGCTCTAAATGAATAAGTCAAAACGACTCAATAGCCCAGGGGTATCAAACATAAGGCCAAGGGGCCATAATTGGTCTACCAGAGACTCTGACCAAAGTAGATAAGAAAGAACAATCAATTATCTCTTTTTGTTTTTTTGTTTTGTTTTTTAAAGTGGGTCAACAGTAAAGACCTCCAACAATTTTTAAACTTTTACACATTTCTTACATTTTAAGATGGTCCATTGATGGACTTGCAGCTATATTTAAATGTATAATTAAACTGTACAGAAAGGAAGTGTGACTGGTTCGGCCCATGTCTCCTGCAGTGCTAAGACTTTGACATCCCTGCAGCAACTTCTGACATGTTTGACCATATTAGCATACTCTAATCTACTCTTACTCGGGCTTATTTGGATAGATTGCAAATATGCTGAATATTATGTTACAGTGCTGGGGTTTAAAATCACATTAACTTTATTTTCTGAGCAAATATTATTCTGCCTTTTCACTACAGCATTGTCTTGTGACAAACACCAGGCCAGCTTTTCCTGGAAACCTCATTGATATATCTGTGTAGGCTCTTAGTCATCCATCATCACAGTCATATAAGGAGTTACGGGTCATATTGATGCATTTGCGTGAAATCATTAGGGGCTGCAGTTTTTTGTTTTTTTAAATATGAATAAAGTTGCACAATTTTCACTTCACTTTAGATGATTCATAGGTATACTGTTTTCCCAGTTTTGACTTGAACCCTCTGAGGCGACATACTTTTTGGACCATATCCATCGGTGGAACACTTGGCTGGACAATGACCAGTGGAACTAGCCAGACTCAGGTTCAGAGATACAACTCCTGCAAGAGCATCACTCATGCCAGAATGTGAGTCACAATTTGATGGGAGGATTTTGTAACTGAAACAATACTATATCACTTAAAATGTGTGAATCTAGACTCAAATGTGGAAATTTTTCAGGCTTGCATATAGAAGTGTAAAAATGTGCTAGTCAATTTTCCGCTTGTCAAATCTATTAAGTGCAGTGTACTTGCAAGCAGGACCCTAGAATACTCAAAGTCTAGACTTGGTATGATTTAAGGACCCTCAGTCTTGTAACTAAGGGGCCCCGGATACAGTGCATCCATAAACAAGTATAGATTTTTCTTAATGCCAGCCTGGCAAGAATGGAAATTTATCCTTTCAACTGTTTCAACTGGTCTCTTTCAGAGCTGTGTTCATCAGCGTGGTAAGTTATTCTTTGTTCCTGGGATCTGCAGTGTTTTCAGGATTGTGCCTCTACTCTTTCTATAAGGACTGTGATCCATGGACGGCTGGAAAAATTTCTTTTTCTGATCAGGTATTGAGGTTCTGTGTCAACTTAATACCCCTTAAAGTACTAGTGGATCTGCCTGTGGTTTTACAAGCACCAAATTGATCTTTGTTTCTTCATAGCTGCTGCCATATTTGGTAATGGATATCCTGAAAAGCTACCCTGGCCTCCCAGGACTCTTTCTTGCAGCAGTTTACAGTGGCACCTTAAGGTTTTATACTTTTATTTGCTAATAAAGTATTGCAGTTCCCAGCATCAAAAGCTGGGCCTCATCCTGTACTTAATGCATCTTGTTTCCTAGCTGGTTCCATCAGTTAAATGATTGTCAAATGTTACGTGAATGGTTGCAGACATTTTAATAACTTTTATTAAACTCAGCACAGTCTCATCAATCATCAACACATTGGCTGCAGTGACTCTAGAGGACCTGATCAAGCCAAATGTCACACTGACTGACAGACAATTGTTTCACATCTCCAGAGCACTGAGTACGTACCTGATCTGTTCACAGTACATGATTAACTGTCCTTTGAGCACTGGTATGTGACTGAGGCTAAAGCTGAATTAGTTAATAAATCTTCATGATTAAAATGTCACTTGTTACACGATGTTGTTGCAGGTTGCGGTATCGGAGGGTTGTGTGTTTCTATGGCTGGCCTGGCATCACTTATGGGACTACTTGCTCAGGTAGTGAGAATCTGATACAAGTTACAACATGAAAATGCATGAATCTTAAATGTGGCCTACCAAACACTTGGAACATCTTTAATGTTTGTGTGGCATTTAAGATTTCAATTCGGCTGTCTCTCACAGGCAAGAATCATCATGGGTGGGGTCAGTGGAAGTCCTATGTTTGGTCTGTTTGTGTTGGGCATCCTGTGCCCATTTGCCAACTCCACGGTACGTCTTCGACTTTTCACTCTTGCTTTGATTTCATTATATTGCCTTAACATCAGAAATGAATCTGGATTACAAATTGGCTAAATGGTATCCCCATGAACTGCAGATAACAAATCATCAATGTGATTTGTTATTAAAAATTCAGGGCATGGTGTATGTATCTTTTAAACAACAGGGGACTCTATTTACAAGTGACGCATGAATTAAAGAAGAAATTAAGTAACTTTCACAGCAAAAATCCACAAAAGAAACTGTATTTAGGCTTAAGCAGGAAATGGACAGTCCCGTTAAGTCACAGGAAGACGATATTTGAATTCAGTTCTACCCTGATGTGAACCACATGGAAGCTTCACTGTGTAGCTACTGGTCTGTCTGCAGGGAGGTTTGTTTGGTCTTGCATTTGGGTTCGCTGCTTCCCTGTTTGTAAGCCTCGGATCCATGCTGTCTTACGCTGACCCTGAGATGACCCGACCTCTGTCACTAAGCACCCAGGGTTGTAACTTCACCATTCCTGGCAGTCTCAACTGGACCACTGATCTTCCAACACAGATGAATTCATTTACCATGGCTCAAGTGCAAGATGGTGCCACGTAAGTGTGGCGGTGTATATATCGTGTGATCAGAAACTTTGTAGTTCATTATTGTGTGAAAGCTTAAGTGCCTTTTTTTTTCTCTCACCAGACATCTGCTGACACGTAACTGGCACTCTCCTTCTTACCTCTACTTCTCTGTCATTGGATTCATCACAACTGTGATTGTTGGAGTGATAGTCAGTCTGTACACGGGTAAACATCTCACAACTGATTACAAACATTAGACGGGGAAAGCGAACCTTGTATCACTGTTGCATTTGGCCCCTTTGTCTTCAGGTGGACTGAAACAGAAAGTGGCACCCAGTCTTATGCTGATGAAAGAGGACATGCTGTCCTATCATCTGTTCAAGCTCATCAAATGCAAGGTAAGTGCTGTAGCGTGAAACGGGTGTTTTGTGTGTGGGATCCCCCCTATAAGGTCACAAAAAGACCAAGGGGGGCCGAACAGGGTGGGACCGAGGTAGGAACACAAATCCAGAGTTCTACATGACATGACATTTACTACACTTCTTGTTACAGTAGTTCAAAAATTATTCTTGGCCTAATGAGATTCTTCCCCTACAGGAGACAAATGAAGGCCATTTGAGGATGACTATGCTTAAGAGAAGAGGTGCAGCAGCTGAAGCAGAAGATTAGATGGAGTCTAACGAATGGAATACTCAAAGGATTGCTTTTATGTTGTAACATTGTAATTTTTAAGCAAACCTTCAGTCACCATTTTATTCTAATGTGCCTCATGCTTACTGACCCTACGAGAACAAGCCTGCTAGATGAACACTGGCAAGATTATGAATGCATGGATCTGATTGCAGGCTCTATGGTTTGCTGCAAGTCATTTCCAAAGTTTACCTGAGATTTACTATACAAACTTCAACATGGGCAACAAAGCATTGCTCTAATCCAGGTAGCTGCAGGAGTTAAAAAAAAATTGACAACTGTTTTAGTGATTGTGGTGATTTGTAGTCTTCTTGGTGTAGTTCTTGGGACATGTATCTTTTTTTTAAATTGTGTTTTTGTTTTTATTTTTGGAGGGGTGTGGGTGCTTTAGATATACTTGTATACACATTTTAAATGTTAATCAACAAATTGGATATGCATATTCATATATATACTGATTTGCAACAAACTTCAGCTGTGGTGTCTGTCTTGAGTAGTCTACACATTGGCAGTTTAGTACCAATGATTCCCTGACCAGGAAAATGATGCATTAACATTTTACATACACATGGATTCAAGGCAGTTTAAACTTATGCTTAACCCTAGAACTTCTTTTTTTTTTTCTCCACCCAAGCAAATATGTTTACATTATTTCTCTCCAGCTGTTGGCATGTCGCGGAGACTGTGCCTTAACCAGGGAAGTCTCAAATGTCCCAGGAATGGGTGGATCGAAGACCAGCTTTCCAGTGTGAATAAGAATATTCTTGAATTCCTGCTTGTTTTTTCTGTAATTTTAAGACCTACTGATCTGCTTGAAATTTGCAAAGAACAGTAATTGCAAGAATGTAGGCATTAAACCCAGAGATTGTAATCTAGGGTTTTGTTTTTGATTAGCCCTTTCTGGAGTTCCGACACTTAAGTTCAACTTGGTCAGTAACAGGAAAACTTTGTGCAGATAGTTGGGGTGCACATAGTGTTTAATTTGCTTTTCTGAGCAAACATAAAGGTCCTTTTCTCCTCCCATCCTATGAGAAATATGGTCAACACTGATATTTTCATACCTCAGTTTACTGGATTTAAATGTAAACTCTTTACACTGCCATGGCAAATCATGTTAGCTTTCTTCTACAGATTTATGCACTTAGAGGGAAGTTAATCAGAGTTGAATGAACAGCAGCTAACTGTATTTTCTTTAGCCCATGAAGAGATCGAGGGCTGAGCAGGGTGGGACAGAGTTAAAAACACTCATCCAAAATTCTACATCAAATGACATTTACTACACTTCCTCTTTCAGTAGCCTAAAAATCATTCTTGGCCTAATAAAATTTTACTTTAGTAGACAAACACCATTTGAGGATGAAGATGCTGATCAGCTGTTCTGGAGTGGGGAACTCCCATCAATTAACTTTTTTTTTTCGTTCTTTTTGGTACAACAGTAGTAACTTAAAGAAAGTCAAATGGAAAAATGCACAATTATTCCATTTAAAAACAAATAATGCACACTGTCTTGTCTTATTATGGAACTCTACACTCAGTTCTACTGTACCTGCAAACATTTTTGGTGGCAATACTCATAACAGCTTTCTGACTTTGTTTTCAGACAAGCTATCGTCTAACAGCAAGTTTGAGTGAACTCAGACCAGCAAGTAACAGTTTACAGACATGCTACATAAAATACTTGCAATGGAGACTACAATACCCAAGTATACATTAACTGTAACCATAACTGAATTAGAACTTGATGTCTAATTCAGTGGAAAACATTTGCTAAAGGACAATAGCGTCCACCATTGCTCAGGCAGGTTGTATACATATTCAGTGTGGCAGAGCAGAATACATTGCACATGGTAAACAGTCTAAAGTTAAGCTTAAACTTAACAGATGTGTTCAGCTGTGTATTTCTATACATCTGGGCACATTAATGACCTTTAAAACTGGAGAGATCATCAGCAGATCATCTGCCGTCAGTCTGGCGAGAACGACAAGCTTACAGCAGCTATGCGCAAAACTCGATCCCAAGGAACTCTACTATTTTATCACTTAAAATGTGTGAAATTTCCAGGCTTGCATATGGAAGTGTAAAAATGTGCTAGTCAATTTTCTGCTTATCTACTTGCAAGCAGGACCATAGAATAGTTAGTCTGGTCTTGGTATGACCCTCAGTCTTGTAACCAGGGAACTCGGATACAGTGCATCCATAAACAAGTGTAGATTAGGGGAGCTGATCTGTAAAATTGATCTTTTCGAAGATGAATGCCAGCCTGGGCACAACAGAAATTTATCCTTTCAACTGTTTCACCTGGTCTCTTTCAGAGCTATGTTCATCAGCGTGGTAAGTTATTCCTTGTTCCTGGGATCTGCAGTGTTTTCAGGATTGTGCCTCTTTCTATAAGCACTGTGATCCATTGACAGCTGCAAAAGTTTATTCTCTTGATCAGGTATTTGGGGTTCTGTGTCATAACCCAATACCACTTAAAGTACTAGTGGATCTGCCTGTGGTTTTACAAGCACTAAGTTGATCCTTACGTTTTTTTGGTCATCGATACCTTAAAAGGCCACCCTGGGCTCCCAGGACTATTTCTTGCAGCAGTATACAGTGGCACCTTAAGGTTTTATACTTTTATTTGCTAATAAAGTCTTGCAGTTCCCAGCATCAAAAGCTGGGCCACATAAGAGTTGGCAGAAGTACAGACAGTCTATACTTAAGTAGAAGTAGAAACACTACTGTTAAAAAAGTATTCCAGTAGAAGTTGACGTACTGATTCAACTTCTTTACTCAAGTAAAAGTAAAAATGTACAAGATCTGAAATGTACTTAAAGAAAGCAAAAAGTAGCTTCTTGGAGGACGTTTCTATTTCTATGCAAAGCTAATTGAACCTTTATTTTAACATAATGATAAAATAATATCAGTAGATATGGATGCAAACCAAAAATTCTAATTAAACCCAGCTAGAATCTGAAGAAAATTACATATCTATTGTCTCTTCCCTACATTGAAGAGAAGTGTTTCCCAACCTTCTGGAGCTTCGGCACATATTTCACATTAGAAAAATCACACAACACGCCAGCAAAAGAAAAAAGTCACAAAAAGCATATTGATAATTTTTCCCTGTGCACCCCGCATATCAGAATTAGTTCGCTTTTCCCCCCAGTATACACCTTTTTTTCCCTTCTTTTATTTGTCTTTTTTCTGATCGCTACTCTGTGGGTCCTGGAGAAAATTCCGACCCAGATGAAGGCCCTAGCTTTTTTTGTCATGTATTTGCCTATTGCTATTACACGCTGCATTGTCTCACTTGAATGTAATTGGTTGTAAAGGCTAAGTGGGGGGGAAATGAGTCATAATGCACATTAATTTCTATTTTGAGAGCTCCAGTAGATTTTCGTAGTCTCCAGGCAGTGATCAGCTGACCTCCTGCTCTTTGTGGATGTGTGGATTCACAACTGAATTCGAGCAGATGTTTCATGAGTTTTCCTGGCTGATTTCCATCTTTTACACTGACAGTACACTCTTTATGCTGTCTTTTTTTCTAGATGGTATAAAGTTAGCAGGAATCTCAGCATCATCTGCTAAAAATTCTTATAAATCTCTGCTATACTTAATGTTACCTAACTCTGACCATGAAACCACAGCCACTGCACCACTCACACACTGTTCTTTACTTTAATTCCATCACAATACAGCAAACTAACCTGTGGTGCAGTGGGAGGAGTGGTGCAGTGGGCTCAACGGGGCGGTGCTGGAGATGCTGGTGAGAACAGCTGATGGCGATTTGGACTGATAATGGTTTCCTTCCCTTTTTATAGTGAGACGAGAGGAGCGGAGAGAGAGGGAAATCAGCTGGGACCGACAGCTCTCAGACTGTGTTCAGTCATAACCTGGGAAAATTGTAAATAAATGTGGAACCTGGTGATAAAGATCTGTGTGTGTGTGTACCTGTGTATAGTGCATTTCACACTCAGGATGTGGTTTATTATTACTCTTTCCTGCTGGCACACCTGTCA